CATATTTCTTTGGAATCTCCCACCAAAATCTTGCTTTATGGTTTCCTCCAAAGAAGTAGCCAAAGTGCCAGGCAGCATGCCCTAGGACGACCAAAGAATCGGAGGCAAACAAAAATATGTGATGTTAGAGAATGTTCGCACTTGCAACACGTCCATAAGAGCCAAAACGTCTGTTACTTTTTCAAATCTTTTAACCGCGTTCTCAAAGGTGAAATATTATAAAAGTTCATGTAGCAGAAACACGCTTTATATTGTACAAAAATCTTTGAAAATGCTCAAAACAAATGGCAAAATAAACTTGGCTTTCCACCCCCATCCCCTGGCCCCGTTGTCTGATCCCAGAATCCCCGACTAAATCTATGACCATTCAAGAAACCAATAAGCTATGAAACGGCTAAGTACTTCTAGTGCCATCAGCCTTGAGTGTATGGGTGCATGTGCGTTTGTGTGTCGTTTGCCAGAGCAGTAGCAATACCCGGTAGTAGTTGTGCCACATGAGGTGGCACTATGATTCAGTAGTTCTTGCCTTGCTTTGCTTAGCCTAGCCCAACACACACCACAACCCCGGCAACTGGCAAGAACAAGAGCTGTGGCCAGAGGAATCCGCAAAAATAAATGGCAATTGAAACCAAGTTCCACAGATACGTGAGGCGCATCCGAAACACACAAAAGTATACAATTTAATAAATAGAAAATACTCTCCCTATATGTCTATTGTGGTTGTATGTGTCAGGCAATGTTATGTTGCAACTCCGAAAACCGAAATAGAAATGAATCCGAAAGCAAAACAAGCAACGAACCAACCATCCAGGCGGGGGAAAAGAGCGAGAGCAAAGGAATCAAGAACATTGCACAGAACCCTCTGTTGAGCGGAGGGACAACAAACGACCAGTGGCTGGCTGGATAGCTTAACATGACTTGTAATGGTTTTTATGGTTCCACATTTTCAATAGCAAAAGTTAGCATTTAATTGATGAATTGTAAAAAAAATTGCCAGGAGTATTTCACAAGCTTATAAACGATGATGTCGACTTTAACTCACTTTGGCCCACGTATTTTGGCCAAAAGTAAATGGCAGGATGAACGATGGATGGACGAACGAGTAGTGGATGGATGGTTGGATCGACGGACGGATAGCCGCAGATAGACACCAATAGCAAGCATAGCCAATAATAATGGAATCGGTAGCACCACAACATTGGCTTAGCCGATGTCCGAATGAAAAATGATATGTTTGGTGTCATTACACTTGTCGAAAATTCTAAAGTGATTATGCTGAAATACAAATGATGATGAGCCTCCGAACAACAACAACAACAATGCGATTAACAACAACATGCCAAGCTATGAAGCGATAGCGACTGGCGGAGAAAAGGGATCCTGCATTGCTGTTAAAAATAGACAAATCGGACAAAGCCTATCGTGTAAATGCCAATGGGTTTCCTTGCCATAAACAAATCAATTTCAATGAATCGATTTTTGAATTGAAGGAAACCGCAGGGAATGACAATGAAAGTAATATTTATTATTTATATTTCATAAGGAATTTCCAGCCAATGAAGATATTTATGTTGCGTGAGAGGGAGGTTAACATTTATTGGGTCCTATGATGGTCGTGTAATGCATTCGTCAGAATCGCTGTATATCTAATTAATAAAGAAATCAAATGAAAATAGCGAAAATGTAAAAATGATGAGTAATTTTATGAAAACCGAGCCCCGAATTGCGCCATAAGTTGTAGTACCCATTACGAGCTTTACATACGATCTTTGAAACAATTCCGGTGAATATTGTCCCTAAAATCATCAAAATACCGAATATTCGGAAGGTATCGTAATATGGGGGCTATAATAAGAAGTGGTCCTGCATATACAACTTTTTATAGGCTGTAGTTCCGGTAAAAAATCTCGCTAAAATCATTCCAATAGCGAATATCGGATACCTGGGTTATACAATATCGTGGACCTATATAGACAATTCTCTTCCGGAGAATCAAGGGGTCACAATTTGTATAATTTAAGACAATTCCATTGAAAAATGGGTCTAAAATCATCAAAATACCGAATATCGGGGGTATCGTTATAAGGCGGCTATACGATATCGTGGACCGATATAGACCACTTGACCTACCTACAGATAAAACACTGATCTATGAAAAATTTTAGCTTCCTATCTTCGTTCGTTTTGACGCGTGATTACAAATGACGGATGGTTGGTTTCGGAAGCAGAATAAAAAATACTTTATTGATCGGTTTTATTGATATATAGCGCTGCGCGAATATATGAAAAAACCCATTAAAAATGTGGTAGGCACTTTTATCATTACTAGAGTAATGACAGAAATAATGAGTTATTTAGATAAAATGTATGTGTTTGGTATGAAAGTTCTTTACGAGTTTATTGAGAAATCAAAAGCAAGCGTTCACATAGTTACCACTTCTGGGTTATGGCGTGATAAATTCATTGTTGGAGACCATTGAGTACATGAGCTGAAATCAGCTCTACAAAAGTCTGGCCAAATCATTCCTTCCCCAACAAAATGTTTTCCACGATCCTGAGTTTGTCCCCCTTCCCATCATGATGACTGATACCGAACATCATCAGCCCTTCTTCTTTTTTTATTTGTTTTATTGCATGTTAGTGTCATTTCATGTTAACCCCAAAAAGGATTAACAAAAACTTGGCGATTTTGACAAATGTGAAGTTGGCTACAGACAGAGATTTCACCAAACGCAGCTTGTCCCACAACAAATGAGCGTCTTGCATTTGTAAGCGTATTTTTTTACTCGCAATAACTGTTTTATTCTTTTTTAGCATATTCTTCTCATAATCCCAAACACAAAATTCTGCAACAAAATACAAAAAATTGCATGAACGTATCAAAAAACATTTTTTCAATGGATTGAAATGCCAAACAACAACAGGGCCAAACTAAATCAATGGCCACAGCCAACCTTTTTGGCATGATCGTCGGAACAACAACCAGAGAACTAAATAAGGAAATATGGATCGACAACAATATAAAATGATATGTTTCATATGGTATGAAATCGCGACATTTTCGACACGCAACATTTCTTTGAATACTTCGTCCATATAAAGTGATTTTCATTGTTCTGTGTTTCGAACTGGGACTTTTATGAACTCCAAAACTGTTGGAGCAAAATTGTCTGGGCGGCCGAAAAGAAAGCGTAGAAAGCCAACGTGGTGGCCCTCCATAGCAAAATGTGATGTTGCTGGTCCACGTTGTCCGCACGAAAGAGGCTGGTACTGTTAAGCAGGCTGGCTGGCAGGCAGGCGGCAGTTGTAATTAATCAATTATGAGAATGGCGTCTTCTAGACGAAGCATGTCATACCATTCTCAGATGTAGTGGAGGAATTCATGTTAACCAAATGTCCATGGCTGGAGATCTAAATCTATTCGGCTGTTAATTTGTTAGGCGTTTGTTTCTATTCTTGTGCGTTTTGAGGTCTTCTTTTGCCATCAACAATTATCAACCTTATTAACAACAGATGGCCATTAACATGAGATGGAGAACTTCCAAACGATACTGGGCAGCAGCACTTCCTCGTTTCTCTTGAAAATTTGGGGAAATGCCAGCACAGGAAGTATTTCAATTTTCTTAAAACATAAATTCTTTTTTTTAATAATCGCCGTGCTCCAAACGAATTCACAAAATTTAAAATTGATTTCATTGCAGGGCATCCATTTGAAACTCATTTACAAAGATGACGTTGGCATTTTGTGGCGTGCGCTCTCAAAGAATGGAAGCTGTTAATGTCGGAAGTGGCCACATTTCCTTTTTCGTGGTGGTTTTACTGGTGGCCATAATAACAAATGTAACGGTTCCAGAGCCAAAGCACTTATTACAATTTTTGCCTACCAAGTCAAGTTATTAACATTTTGGCCACAACTCATGGTCCGTGGACCGAGCGCCACACCATTAAAGTCAATTATTAACTTAACAAATTAAGTAATTTTTTTTATTAAGTTCAGTCATCATAACTTACAGTTATGGACTGAATGACTGACCGACCGACGATGGTTACTCTACTCTTCAGCTATCCAAGCACTCAGTCATTGAACTGATAAGCAACTTGTGTTACAATTCAAGCCATAAAAATCCATTCGGAAATTGCCAAAAAGTGGTAGTGGCAGTGGGTAATAGCATTGCCCGCCAGCTGCCAACCACGGAATTGGAGCAGTAAAAGATGCTGACTAAGTACTTCGAAAATATTATTGTTTATTGGCATTTAGATGACTTTACAATCAGCATGGATTTTAATGGCTAATAAAGCCAACACGTTGTACAGCATTTCCAATACAGAATTGTAGATAAAGAATTGAAGCAGATACAGGACTTTTTAATATTTGTGGACGCTACTCGAATTTATTGTGACAGTATAATTAAATATAATTATAATTGAGTCATTTGGTTGATTTTTTGAGTGGTACGAGTTAATATGGTGAAGGACATTATTAAGTTCTGAAATAGTACCTATTTTTATAAATATAATATATATATAGTATATTAAATTTATAATATATATATATAGTATATTAAATTTATCACTCCGTTTAGAACACCACGAAATATTTGTCGGGGACCCCAAAAGAGTATATAGCGATGTCCGTTGAAATCATGATCGAATCCACATTATTCAATCTAGGGCTTGGAAATATGGCACATAGGTTCACGTTTAAGTATAGACCCCATATAACGTTACCTGCAGATATTCAGCATGTTTAAAGTTTCTGCCAAAATTGTCAATCAAATTAGCTGAAAATTCAGAATTGGGATTCTCTGTAGGTCTGTTTTCTCCATGAACAAAATGTTCGATTCAGGTCCACTAATTGGTATAGCCCCCATATAACGACACCTCCCGATTTTCAATATTTTGACGAGTCACATTTTCTAAAGGATTTGCCTAAAATTTTTTAGTTATAGTTTGTAATGGGTTTTTGCTAGGGTAGAAGAACATTGTATATTTAGGTTCAACACTTTTTTTCATTTTAGCCTTATGGTCTTGTCATTAGTTCTCGCTCATTAAATTATTTTAAAATATACATTGAATTGTCATAAATTCCATTAAGTATCTTAGAAATAGATCTGAAATTCCATAGTTAAATCAAACATCGAAAACTTTTCTAAGTCAGACTCTTGACTTCAACCTCGTTTGACCCTTGAAGCAAAGACGAGTTTCTTTCGCCGCTCTTCCAGATGGCCCTTGAACTAAATGAAAATTAGAATTTTTAATTAGGATATGGCATACTAACTATTTTTCCAATAAAATCAGCCTAAACACTCACTCACTCACCTGCATTCAGAGAGCACGACAAGAACGACAAAAGAGGAACACGAATACCGACAATAAATACAATGTGCTTCGATTCTATAGATGTTCGTTTGTTTCTTTGTTTTTTTTTTTTAATGCATTTCAAGAGAATTTTAATTTATTTTTATGGTTCTTATGTTAATCACTTGACCTTTTAACCCTTTTGGAAATGAGAAGTTTTTCCGTTTGCAACTCCAACGGTCGGAGCAACTCTTTTGTTACGGCGTGTGTGTTCGGTTCGTTAGGTTGTTGTTTAATTTCATGGCCATTAAAACAAGTGCTGGGCGTTAGTCCATCTTCATAGCAGCGTCGTCCTAGTCCAGCCATCTGGGCCGCAGTCCAGAGCTATGACATAGCTTTATTGCCAAGGAGGTAGTTCTCCACGCATATTGTTTTACTTTTCAATACGACTAATGCTCTGGTTTTCTTTTATTCTGATGAGAAGAAGAACAAAACACAAAACGCCACACTGAAATGGAGAATAAAAGACTGTCGAGAAGAACAACGAAACAAAAGTGGAAATTTACAAAACATTCCATTTCATAATTCTCAGGCCGGCACAAAACAAATGCAAAGGGTATGCAGTCAGTCTGTCAGCCATTTCGTCTGCTGGCTCCATTCCGTGTGTTGTTGTTCTGGGCCCTGTTCGCATGGTATTGACCATGAAACGAAGGAGAACGGAACGGACAAATGAAAAACAATAAAAACACATTTAATGATGTCACACAGAATATAAAATACCTATAAAATGTCAAAAATTATTGAATTTATGTTAACATTTTCTAGTCAATAGGCTACGTAGCCATTGGAGCGTTCAACAATGACACTGGCTACGTTCCACCATACTAAATTGGGCACAAAAGGGAATTCTTTTCAAAGCAGCTGGTTAATTTTGATCGGGGGGATATAGGCGCATGCGTAACTATTTAGTTGCTTAACAAAAGTATTCTGAGTTGGTTCTATTGAGAAAAACGTAGTATCTATTAGTGAGTAATATAAGTTCGAAAATATTATATTTAAATTGTCAAAAATATAATTTTCCCATAAAGATTATATGAAGTACAGGGTTGCCCATATTCGACGGACCCATCTGGCAACGCCATAACTTTTGACAGAGATGTCACATCGCTTAATAACATACCGCGTTTGAAGCGTCAGTCCAAGCAGATTTTTACCATGAACCAATACACGCCACGCGAGCGCTCTGAAATTTACATTCAACAGAAGAAGTCAATTGTGAAAAAAAATGTGAGAAGTGCGCCTTCTAAGAACACCATTAAGCGTTTATACGAACAATTTTCGACTGGTAAGGCGCTTTCTAATCCGAAGAGGCCATATAAAAGTCGACCAAGGCGATCGGCCGAGAATATCGCTGCCGTACGAGCCAGTGTTGAGAGGTCCCCAAGAACATCCCAAAAACGCCGTTCTCAGCAGTTGGGCATGGCTCGGTCCACTATACAACGGATTATTCACATTGTTTTGCATTTGTTCCCGTACAAAAATCAATTGACGCAAAGAATGTCGCTTGCGGACAAGCCTCGTCGATATGGACAACTCTGTACTTTACATGCTACAATTTCATTCGAATTTTTGTTCCCTTCACTATTTATATACCCTTTTAGCTCCATGTAACAGTACCTAACGATATTCGGTATTTTAATGATTTTAGCGACATTATTTACCAAAATTGTTTCAAATTTTGTATTTGAAGATATTAATGGGTACTATAACCTTTGACTAAAACTTGCTTATGCAGACCCATCTCTCCATTTAAGTTGTATTTTTCGATGGAATTTGTTAAAAATTTTCAAGCCTAAAAATTTAGCTGCATTTTAAATGGTTTTATTCTTCGGAAGTCCTAAATTTGAAGCGATGTCCGTCTGTCTATGTATCTGTCAATCCGTATGTTGAAGTTACGCCAGCTTTCCAACGGTTTAAGATAGATGTAAAATGTTTGCACGGTAGGCAGGTTAAGTTCACAAAAGATATGAGTTTCACCAAAAATAATTTTATTTGTTAAATTTCCGTCATGACATCTCTAATTGTTAGATTTGTGACATTCCCTTGGCGTTCGCATTGTACGTGAAAGATTTTTAATCAACATGCCTTCGCCTCATTAAAGCTAAATCGATGGCCAGAACGTTGTTTTAAAATTTTGTAATGTTCTTTGGCAGTTGTCAGGAGGGCAGGAAGGGTTTTATGGTCATCGAGCTGAAATGAAAATCAACTAAAAACCAAACAAAATAATAATAAAATCACAACGACTCCAACGAGTCTACAAAGTACTTTTCTATTCTATTTCAATATTGTCCAGGTTTGAGGTATTTATGGCCGGAAAACAAAACAAGAAAAATGGTAATGAAAACGAAATCTACAATAAAAGCAAAAAAGAAAACGGGCACATTTATGTCCTTTCGAATGTTGTTTGAATGATACACCATAAATCCAGTCTGACCATTTGTCCGTTTCACGTCCATGGAGTATCGTGGCCATGTCAAGTCCATGTCCAATGTCAAACGACATCATTGTTGTTGTTGTTATTTTTTTAACTGCCTCCATTTCATTTCATATCATTATTTTTTTTGTTTGTGTTGTTCTCTTCGTTTTATATTTTTAATTAAAACTCGTTCAGATTTTATTTGAATACAATTAAAATAAGAACACAGCCAGGGTTCTGATGTTCTTATCGTGGCATTGAATGAAAGAAGTTGTTTTACATTTGGCTTATCAGGAGGGGACCACCTACAGATAGGTGCGGTGCTGTATAACAAAAAAAAAAAAAAAAAGAAAGAAATCGAATGCCGTCCAGTCTGGTTCTCACAAAGGAGCTAGCCTAGTGTGTATGTGTGTATGGCTTTGTGACACATTCCAAATGGTGGCGTCCTTATCAAAGAATGTGAATAAATTGATTCATTCTCTCTGCCTCTCGTTCCTCATTTCCCTCATCCTCATCGGGGCACTGCACAGTGTGTGTGCGCACACTTTGCCGTCGATAAGATTCTTCTCAACGCCACTAACATCATTTGCATTCAAAATTAATAAGTTTTCCAATGAATTACAGTTTTATCTCAAGTATAGCAGCACTTTGAGATAATTTCTTTGTGATTAACAAGTGCCAGGTAGAGTTATAGGGGTGATACGGCGATCCAATCCATTTCAGGCGCCCCAATGTCTTGCAGTGCCACAGGAATCACCAATAGTATTTTTTTATTTTTGGCAGACATGCGGGCAGACGATTTCCCATAGGAAAATTGGAATGGTTAGGAAAGTCAATGTGAGTGCAATTGAAAGTGAGTAATTCAATTATTTAATGAGAGAGAAGTTCTATTTCCAAATCTCACTACTCGCCGAGGTCTATATCTCTCGTCAGGATTTGTTAGCTAAACTCTTTTGCAAATTTTTTTCTAATTATGCTTAAGTCGAATTACTTTCTGATCTCCTCATACCGAACACAAACGGAGACAATGACCGGTAATCTCCAATATGCGCATTCATTATAACACAAACTTGGCACATTATTGAAATCAAAACCAGACGAATTACATTTAGTCCTTGTGTGCGTGGTGTGGCGTGGTATGGCGCACACATTGCCACTAAATACACAACACTCACCTGTTCTTGTGGAATCACATAATCATCTTTTCCAATTAAAAGGCGCTTTCGTGCACTTATCAGTACCAGTCAATCGGGTGGAAGCATACGCTTAGCAAAATATCGCATTGCCTCCCTTGGCGGTTTGCAAGTGAATTACTTTCGCAGATCTCAGTTTCTATGAAATCGCATAAATTGGAAATGGGTCGTCAATATTTATTCGTCAATGTACGAAAATGTTTCGCCCGAAGCAAAGATTGTGGAGGATGGGAGACGCAGCGTTGTGGTGTAGTGTGAAATTACAAATCCCAACATAAACGCCATACATTCGCCATGAGCATTGATGAGCCGAATATGGCCTGCAATCACAAAAGACTAACAATCTTGAATTGTGTGGCCAAATGCAATAAGCTCTCATCAAAATCCAACATTAAATCCATTCAGACTTTATTAAATATTTGCCATTCGAGGTTTTATTCACCTTTTAGGCTTTGTAGCTGGCCGCCCTGGTGGCCAAGTGACAAAAGGCCACAGAGAACACACTCATAATTCTTAATGAAGTCCTTTAATCATTTATTTGACATTTATATATGCCTCACACCGGTCACATGAGGACGATTGTGTGTGCGGATTGCTGCTCCTCACAATGTTCGGCTCTTTGTTTCGTAAGAAAAGACCATTTTTAATAACTTCTTTGCCTAAAACCATTATCAATGAGTGTTTGTATTTCTAGTAGACACTTCTTCTTGTTTTTGTTCACATACAGAGACTCAAACACACATGCAAATACACACACACACGCACACTCTGTCAACATCATCAACACTTGCAAATGCTGTTTGCGGTGATAATGATGATTTGAAAGAGGAAATTTCCATTCATATTTATGAAGTCAAATGGCAGAAAGCAAAGCTCACGAAGACCATGGGATTACGGGGACAGCAAGGGCCAGGGCATGCATTAGACACGTTCTATTTAACGCATGCATGCGTGACCATTTTGGTAACACAACAACATGACCTTCACACTGGGTATGTTGTCACCCAGTGCCAGTATACGACGACAAAAAGCTCACAACTTCCCAACGGAAGCCACCATAACCGTATACATACCACCAGGCAAAACAGAGCGACCACTTCGAACCAGTCCATTGCAGTTCAATTTTGGCCACCCAAACATCAACTCGTGCCTATTTAGAACACAATCAATGTTTGAATTGTAGTTTAGCCGTTGTGGCCTACAAATATGAAATACAGGCACCCAACGCTCAACGTCAAAGCAGCGTCATACAACGAGGTGATACAGTGGAGGAAAAAAGTTGAAGACTCTTGATTTAAAGCAAGTAAAAGTTAGACGAGCTGGGTATCAGGAAGTTCATATGGCCAAGATGGAAGTACGGAAGTCCATATAAATGAAGCCAGTTATATGGACTTCAAATAACAGAGCGTGAGGTCAGGGAGTCAATATAGACCCACTGGAAATAAGGAAGACCACACAGATGAGCTGCGGAGGCCAGGGATTCTATATAGACAAGTTGCAGGTCAGAGAATCAATATTGACTAGGTTGAAGCCAGGCAGTCCATAAAAACGAGCTATAGACCAGGTAGTCCATATGGCAAGCCGTAGGTCATGAAGTCCTTATAGACAAGTTGTAGGCTAAGGAGTCTATTTAGACGAGCTGTAGGCCAGAGAGTTTAGACAGACGAGCTGTAGGAAGAATTCCCGTGGTATTCCTCCTAGGGACCTCGGAGGTATTTCCCGTAGGGACCCCGGTGGTATTTCTCATAGGGACCCTCTAGGGACAAACCTTTCATCAAAACAAAATCAAGTACAACTTCAGTGATTAAAAAAAGCGAATAATTCAGCAAGAACTTTGGTCAAATACGGAACAGTAATTTGCAATTATATACCTATACACGCACTCATGGCCGTCACAGTTGACCAGGCCCTAAGCTAATGGATTACGTATTACACCATGGCATTGTGTGGTGTTTGTTGTGATTTTACCGACCATTATAAACTTCCATGTGTCACCCGTAATGCCGCACAATAACAATCATAAATAATATGTTGTGCGTGTAGGTCCAGGCAGTTGATATTCCGTTTATGTATCTCGAGGACTTGTGGGTATGGGCGTATACGGGTGCGTGTGTGTATTTGTATTGTAAGCTTTAATAAGCAACTATTTCAAATGTTAAGTATATCAAATCTCCTACGTATGATGAGAAATGATTTGTTGCCATTCGTTATCGTTGTTGGTGCGTTTGTCCCATGGAAATGGAAGAGGGAGACGTGCCATTGCCAAAAAAAAGGCAGAAAATCCATCTAACAAGAATAGAGAATTCAACAACACCTTAGTCACTAGGGGGGGAATGTCGTAGCCACTGTGA